TGTTGAAAAATATTGAAAAATATCTGTCATTTCAAAGTTTTGGGGTGTGGACCATCGGGGGTAGTCCGTTCCTGACTTTGTAGCAAAACAACTGACTCCTGCATGAAAGCTCATCGAAGGAATTCATTTGTTTAGTCAATTACCAAAATTTGGATGATTTTGAATATTCACTTGAAAAGTTATCAAAGAAAAACATTTTTCATTTTGTAACTTCGAAGGCCCGTTACTTGGTAACGAAGGATTGTAGGAAAAAAAGTTATATGAAGTACTGGTGATATTTTGACCCCATCTATACATTCCCGAGAGGAAAAGAGGAAGTCCAGGGACACCCTGTATTGACGACACATCAACATACTTATCGCCAACAATAATTCTGAGTTACACTGCCTAGATAGTAAATGCTTTCAGTTTCGAAAATAGGTTTGATAATTGGGTACTTTTCAAAGTTACCTTCACCCAAGTTGACACATTCTGTTACTGGTTAATCAGTGTTCTCATTTTTTTCAGCGCTTGAATATCGAATTGTAGAGAGTGTTTACGAGTCGAACAGAAGATGATACTGCAGCTGCCTAAAATTGTGATATGTCTAGTGATTATTTCGAATTTGCACGTCACTTCATCGAAGAATATATTTCATGGGTATTCTAAATATATCACAAATTATATTTCCAATTTGGTAGAAAATGCTGTAGGAAAAACTCAATGCGCAAGCGATTTGAAAAGTTTGGCACATGATTTGATTAATATGGAAAGATGGGCACTAGAAAGTAAGTTCACGATAAAACTTTATTGATATATAAATATGATTTGGTAATTTGTAAAGAGGTGTATAGACGATTATGAAACCAATTTACGAGGCAGAAAATTATTACATTTGTGTGCCAATTTCATGGATACAACAATTTTTATATTTTAATAATTACTTGTTTCTTATGCCATTTCATTATCGACTAGAATGCAAAATAATTAATAAGTTATTAGTTTGAAAATATCTCTATTTTATTGAAAATATAAAACATGCTTTCTCTGATTCTTCCTAATTCAGTTGTTAGATAATTAAAAATTGCCGAGTTATTTGTAAATTATTGTTAGAGATATAAATTTGTGCTACAAAATCCTCACAAATGCAGAACGAGCTGACTTCAATACCGTTTTTTCAAATATAGAAAACATTCATAGCAAATAATTTGTCGAACTCACCGTGAATATGCAAATTATGGCATGGATTTGATGCAGAGGCATGCATGATGGTAATATTTTCATACTAGTATTCTCTGAAGATGTCATTGAATAGTTATAGTCTATTAGGATTTGTCATTTAACAATATTCCGTGCTTAGGGTTTCAAAGTTAGTGAAAATCACAGTACCTTTAATCTTTCCAAATTTGCCTTTAACAATCATTATGGTTTTCATGTTCAATACTACGCTTCGCTTATGTACCCGTGAGAATTTTTTCGACCTTACTTAACAAACTACATTTGCCATACTTGTCTTCAAATCTCAGCAACACTTCAGATAATACTGTTTGTAGCAGTAATAATAATAATAATTGAGTATCATTTCTTCATCACTGATACCAAGAGAAATAATTCTTTTGATTGATGAAATTTACAGTATTCCGTTAATGACGGAGTAAAATTTTTATTGGGTGTCTGTTAATGATATCATACTGGAAACCAAAAGGTCCCGTTAGTCATGAATGTTATCGATTAAGTTCATAAATGTGGATTTGAAATTTTGTGTATTATAACATAGCTGATGTCGAATACGAACAATATGAGAAAAAAATACCAAATAACTATATGGAAATACAGAAATCAGTTCATTTATATCAGTGGCTTAGTGAACAAACATATTTTTGTTTCAGTTTTGGCATAAGAATCACTTGTTCATAATTTTCAGTCGAACAAACCACTTAATGAAATGGAATAGGATAGGAATATGCTGAACTGGTTTTCGGGTTTTTGCTCCGTGTAATGTGCTATTATCTTCAATGTCACTACTTCCGAACACATAACAAACATCATTTTACCAGTATAGTAGCGAGCGGTCCGAGTAAGTTTGACCGACTCCCGAACACTTACTTAACAGTAATATCCAGATGATAACAAATAAGACTTTGTCAAAACGTCGGTGAAATTGAAGATAATAGCACATTACACGGAGCAAAAACCCGTTAATTCCGTTATTTTCATTAAAAATATTTACGCTATTGGTTTTTTTTTCATCTGGCGGCACTTTATTGTTGAAATCATAAAAAATGATATATTGTGACTGTTAGCTGTGTGAGTTTTCGAATTTTTGAGTTGTCATAACTTTCTTAATAATGAATATTTTTTCATGAAATTTTGATCACAGTGAAGCTGATGGAAAATAATTCTATGAAAATCAAAAAATAAATAGATGAGTACTTTCTTGATCACTCTCATATCGATTTCAATTTAAGAGCCACCGGTAGACAGCTGTTTCAGCCTATTGGAAATCGTCAGTACTGGGCAGGCGGTCCTCGATTGAAGACAAAATGTGACGACGTAATCCATCTTGATTTCCTGCAGGTTGAAGCCTGGCTCCCTTCCCCTTTCAACTGGTGTTCGTCAGAAAGACAAACGGGTTATGACTGGTGTTTATTGGTGGCATGAAAGTCCTGAGACATCCATACCGCCCTTCGCTGTATACCCCTACCTGGCTGGGGTGAGATGGATGAAGATATTATTCATCCGTTAACTGAGGACATAGGGGCCTTATGCGACAGAGTGTCGGGGCCTTCTATATCGGGAGGGGTCGTCTACAGCGTAATCTATAGCTTACCTGACTAACAAAATGTGAAAAACCAAGAAAAGCACTTAATAAAAATAACTGCGTAAACGCAAGTGCAAACATAAGTGGAACCACCTATTGGTGTGACACACAAGTCAACTTGACAAGTTTTTTATGTCAGATAAGTATCGAAAACTTGATAACTGGGTTTTATGATAGCAAAAAGAATCTTTTCAGAGCAAAAATAACAAATATCATAACTAACTTTTTCCAAAATTATCTTAATTTCCTATTTGAAAAAACAAAAACATTTTTGAAGAATCATTCAGAATTGATACTTACAAGATCTGATAAAGGCAGCGTAACAGTAATTATGAAAAAATCTGATTATATTGAGAAATCTCTTGAGATTATTAATGATAGTGAGTCTTATATTGAAATTAATAAAGATCCTGTTTCAACAATACAACAAAAGGCAAATAAAATCATCACAGATTTGAAAAAATCTAAAATGATATTAGAAGATGAAGCAAAAATGTATATGATTTATAATTCTATAATACCCAAATATTATGGACTCCCTAAAATACATAAACCTAATTTGAAACTGAGACCCATTATTTTTTCCATCGATGCTCCAAATAGCAAAATTGCCCAAATGGTCACAAAAATTCTCACTGATGCTTATAATTATGAAAATGAATTCTATATTAAGGATTCTTTCGATTTTTCCAATTTTATAAATGAAAAATCATTACCTCCAAGTTATATTCTGATCAGTCTTGATGTGATTTCACTTTTCAGCAATATACCTATGAATCTAGTGGAGAAAAGTGTTATCAAAAGATGGAATGATATAAATTAAAAATGTTTAATAAACCAAAAAAAAATTATTGAAATAATTAAGTTCATCTTCAACTCAAGTTATTTCTCCTTCGAAGGTAAATAATATAAACAAATTCTTGGTACACCGATGGGAGCTACTATTTCTCCTATTATAGCTCAATACGTTATGGACGATCTTTTTGAAAACATGCTTCTCAAACTGAGTTTTGAAATTCCCTTCTTAAAGAAATACGTTGACGATGTCATTTGTGCAATACCTTATGACAAATCTAATGAAATTCTTGATATTGTCAATAGATATGATAAAATTTACAGTTCACTATCGAAATAGAAAATAATCAGACCCTTTCTTTTCTTGATACAAGAGTTATCCGTAAAACTGATAATTCCTTGATTACTGATTGGTATGTCAAACCTACAATTCAGGAAGATATATTCATTATTATTATTTTCATAAAAAATCAGTTAAAATCAATTTAATAATCTGTTTGAAAGAAAGAATAGAAAAATTATTACACCCTTCCCTCAAGCAAAAAAATCTCAGACTTCTTAGAGACATGTTGATCGAAAATTCTTATCCCAGAAAACTTCTCAATGAAATGATTTTCTATACTGGCAATAATACAAATTCCAATGTAATCAACAGAAATGTATGTAATGATAGTTTATCTATCAATTTTTCTTATAAATCTATACCTAACCTTGGAACTGTATCTTCAAATATCATAAAACTATTTCATAATGAACAAAATATCAAAATATGCCAAAGAAATATTAAAATCATAAAGAATTTGAATACTAATTTAAAAGATGAAACGGATACCACCAAAAAGTCAAATGTGATTTATAACATTCCTTGTAACAACTGTAACTTGGATTATATTGGAACAACATCTAGAATTCTTAATGACAGAATAACTTCACACAAAAGTGATATAAAGCTTAATAAAAAATCATGCGTATTAGCACAACATTCTATATAAACAGGACATAAACCAAATTACTCTAATATCAAAGTTTTACATACAGAAAAAATTATTTCTAAACGCCTTTTTCTTGACATGGTTGAAATTAATGAGTCTTCTGTTTATATAAATGAGAAAACTGACATTGATAATCTCAGCAATATATACAGTAACTTACTGGAACTACATCAAAAACGTGATAATAATGAAAATTGTATCAATCAATAACTCTTTCTTAAAGTCAAAGATTATGAAATCATCATACCCATTGAAAAATGACATTTATGTGAAGGTATGACATTTGTCAAAGCCAAAATAACAACCTTCTCCGTCAGTTTATATGTTCAGTTTATTGTTATTAACTCATTTCTACTGTAAGTATGAATTGTAATGGTTGTCGATGGCAAAAAAACCAACAACTCAATAAATTATAGACCCTGAAGAAGCTTCCCATTAGAAGCGAAAGCTTGGCAAAGTAGAACAGAGATTTTTCATATTTGCTGATAAAAAACATGAAACAGCACAAAAAATATCTGCGCCTCACTTCCATTTCGTCGAAAATGTAAATGAAAATGAAGCCAAATGAACAAAGCGATGATTTCAGTTCAAAGTTCGATCAGTTTGTGAATTTTGAATATTCAAATTTCACTTCAACTTCTGTTAAAATATTGGAACGATAAGCAATGTTTTTATTTTATTCGATCCTTCTCATGGCAAGGATGATTTATTGGAAATTGTTCCTACATTCCAAGCGTTCTTAGGTCTTGAAATATTTATTTTTCATTTCGAATTAATTCTGTTCTAGAAGAGGAGTGTCTAATGACAACCCGAATCAGTTGTCAATATGGCAACGTCGGGTGATGTGGTTTCTGAAAGAAAATATGCAAAATAATGTTAAATTTCGAAGCAACTGGTTCCAGTACTTTTCACCTAACGTTCGTGAATGTTAGCTGAACACCTGATAGACATATATGATAACCTAAACTATAATAATTTTGTGTCGTTGGTAAAACCGTATCTACGGTGTAACAACGCTTCGTCAAACCCGCGATAAGAATAATTAACAATGTGAGACTGCGTAATTATTGTTTCGTTGTGAGTTGATTCACTCACTGTAGTCGTGAACCTCTGGAAAACGTTTCATTTTAATTTGAAAAATAATAGATCGATAGCAAGCGACAATGTCAGTTGAATGTTA